GACTTCAGACTTTAAATAAAATAATCTGATATCAGCAGCACATGGACTTGGGATGTGTTTAAAACTTAACTGTATAATTGGGGTTCTAGCTGCATTGCATAATCTGCTAGTTATTTGGCAACTTTAACCTCAAAATATTTAGCCTATAACATTTCTTGCATCAACAAATTTATAGGCAATATAGGTAATAGTTATTATTAAGAACACATTTGTACGATTAACTTTTTTATTGTTTGTTCTGAAATAAATTTTTTAAAAATATATGCATGAGCGCGTGTGTGAATTCTGGAAAACATGATATCAAAAACAGGGTGACCCCCCCCCCCCCCCGTATTCGCACAATCAAAAACAGGGTAACCCCCCTACTGATCCACCGACCCCCCCCCCAGGCCGAAGTAACTGACCAATCCCTAAGTAAATAAATAAACAAGTATTTTATAAATTGTAAAGTTTGTAAGACCATGGAACTATAGTTCCATGGTAAGACGGATTTGGTGAGAGTAGAACTTAAAGAAGGCAGCGAGGTGTGATAGTTTGGACGAATAAAGCTGGAATATCGAACTAATGTTTATTCCGTTAATTCTAATCGTCCTGTTCGATATGGGACTCATAGCGACGTATACAACGCGTGTAAAATGCATTGTTATCAGCCAAGTGAGACAAAGTTCCCCGAGGAACATACAGCCACGGTTACTAAAATAGTAACAGTGATGCAACGAAAAACGCTAATTACCCCCTTGTCATCCTTCACATATCAACAGCACCCCCCCCCCCCATGCTCTCACCTAAAAACCTGCTGGACTTCTTCAAATCCTGGTTTCACGACTCCACCAACGAGAACCTTAAGAGCTGAGCGGTTGCGTATGTAGATTATGAAATACGGCAGCAGAATTCCCAGACAAATAGCAACGATGGCGATGGAGGAACAGACCATCATCGTGGCTGCCGACTAAAATAGAGCAAAGAAACAAAACGTTGATCTACTAACTACAACGAGTCGGAGATATACCAGTATTGGTGCTTAAAACGGCGCGGGTTTTGTCACAAACATCTGGCTTACGAAACTCGCTGGTTGGTGCTGACTTGTTGCCACTTGTTGAGGCATAAAATGAATATGTAATGACCTATAAATAAACGATTTTGTAAGCCGTTTGTACTATGGAATGGAATGGAATCTGAAAAACAAAATTAGCTAAAATACTACAAACATATTTGTGTACACTAGAGAAAACATTAATAAACAATTTTGCATTTGGTAAGGTTTGATAGTCAGATGAGTATTTGAACAATATATAGAGGAATTTTTTCCTGTGTTCTGAAAAACTGTCACAATGAAAAAGGTAGTGTTTTTCATCACCCACATCATTAGTCACACTTGTTACATACCCTGTCAATTTTATTTATTCCCCTGTGACGGCCTATTTCAATTTGCAAGAAGTGGGCTGAAATACGAAATTTGGTTAATGCTGCTCTGTGTTTTATATATCATCCAAGTATTTTTCAAATTTATAATTATTTTTGAATGTTTTATAAGTACTTAGTTTATTATGACCAGTTTTGTTCAACTGTCTTTCCACATTATTTGTTGAGTAAATTTGGTTTAACCTTTTTTTAAACAGATTGCAAAAATTTGTCTAATTAGTATCCGTGTTTGTCATATTTGTAATTTGTAAGTTTTTGGACAAATTTATACCAGGGATCGTATTTAAACCCACTACTTTCTTTAAAAGCAGCTTCGATAATTATGTTGTTTGTTTTCTTACATGACAACCTTTGATAAAATTTTATAACAGTAGTACAAACATCAATCACAAGTGGGAAACGACCTAGTTCACCTCTACAAGCAATATGCCTTCCTATGTACTCCCAAAACTCGCTTACAAAACTTTATATGAAGTTTTTCTGGTAATATTTTGTCAGAGAATAGCTTTGATACAAAAACAGTATTACAATCTCTGATTTGCTATTGCCAGTTCCACTAAATAGATTAGTCAGAAAACTACCCCAGACTTCTGACCCATAAAGAATAACTGGTTTAATAACAGAATCAAACAGTTTACAGGCTAGACTCGC